ACCCTAATGCTTTACAAAGGAAAACAATGAATCGTTTTGATAACTAGATTTGATATGTTGTACTGCTAACAAAGAATCGTGTTCTATTATAAGGTGATTTACTTTTCAAGACCACACATCGGGGTAACCAAAAACAAAACCTTTACGAAACCGGTTTTACCTGTAAATTTTATTATACCACAGGGGTGTTTTGATAATAACATTAGAGACCATTTCGACCTTTCCGGTAAGAAAGTCTTAGAAATCTTGTTATACGCTGGGATTTAGGATAAGAAGACGGAGGTATGTAAACAACAGAAATTGTAATTTATATTTCAAATATTGACAGGGAATCACAACGAGATTAATTATTAATACGTGTAGACATCCATAATTTAAAATTCAGTTTTTCGTGGTTGCTTTACAATATACAATCTCATGAATACAAATGTAAAATTATGAAAGTCGAAATAAAAAATGTCTACTACTTTATCATACCATTCGTTCTCGGGGTAGGCATGCCTGTTTGCGTTTTATATCATAAAAATCTTTCCCCAACTTAATGAATATGTCACAATTTTGAAGCCTCTCACCCAGAGGTTAACTCTCAATAGACTTTCGGTTTCAATGGAAATTTAGATCTCTTCTGATATTTAAATGATAAATAAATAAAACTAAACCGCATTCCGCGCTCATTTTGTATTTCAGTGCCAATTAACGTCTTATTGCACAAAATTCTTAATTTTTTAAATATCTACCGCTTTTAATTATTGGTTGCATTTTAAGAGTTTCAAGCTATCGCAAATATACACATTGAGATGCTGCGGAAGACGGGGTTTTTATTAATTTTTTAACTTAATACTGACACAGCCAATTTGGTCATTTCGCCCAATGTAAATTTTTCGGTTACTTGTGTCGCACTTTATCGCTGTCCTTAATTTGTTAATATTGAGAGATAATTAGCTGGTATTTCATATCTCGTACAGACTCCCAACCGTCCCAACCCCAAACTGTTGTAAATTTAATCGACGTGTCGAAACTATTGCATATACGAGGGGTTTCTCGGACTGGGTCGTTTTGAATTTTGATGCAGTTGTAAGTTTTCATTTTGTCGACTGAAATAAAAAGTGAGCTTGCGTTACAGTTATCAATGGATTATTGTTTTGAATCATATTTGTCACTGATTGTCTGGCTATGGTTTTGAATTACACGCTGGAAATTAGTCATATTCTGTTACCTCCACAATTCATTAAATTAATTAAAGCTCGGTAAAAAATAAGGCGAGATTGCAAAAGGTCAGTCATGAAAACTGTTTGAACCATAGAAAATTAATTAAAACCCGCCGTGGGTGTTAAAAAAGTATTTAGAGAGGGGATTATTTTGCACTAGGTTGGGGAATTCGAAGAGCAGCAGCTGGTAAAGAGTACGGTTCATCAGAATATAGTGTTAGCAAGCACATTCCTTAGAAAACTTTCCCGTATAACTGTACAGAGTAATAAGAGCAGGGGAGGAGTAGTTGCCCCATTTATTTGTTTGTTATGTGGAATTACAAGAAGCAAAATAAAGTTCATTGTTAGTGCCGCTAGTATAACTGGGTAATTTAGTGCAACTTTTTACCTAAGAGATTTCTCCAAATTAAACTTAAACCGTAATCAAGATGGTGGTAAGATATTTTAAATATCGCTGTAAAATTATAATTACAAGGGAAATGAAACTCCCGAGGGAAATAGAGTTCTCCGATGTTGTCGTACAGGTTGGGTATCGAGTTGAAAACTATTATAATGTAATAGTATTTTACATTATTAGTCAGGTAAGTGAGTTTTTACTGGCGATAGAAGTTGACTGGCGAGCCGTCAGGCGAGCCTGTCATCTCCTAGAGCCAGTAAAAACTATTACCTGGCGTATAATGTACAATATTTTATTTGTTACTCATTTGTAAACAATAGTAAACGTAAATAATTAGTTCTTAATTGATCTTGAAGAAATGTCTAAAATATCATGTGATCCATGTAACAGAGACTTCGCATTAATTCTGGCCAATGAAATTACTAGATTAATAACTTGTAAAATTTTTACAGGTCTGCTGTCAGTTTTACAAGTCTGCTGTCAGTTTTACAAGTCAGTAGCGTTTAAACATGACGTTTACCCGTTTGCGTTTTGTCTTATTAATCAACGTTTACAACTGAGTAACAAATAAAATTGTAAAACGCAAATTGAAAAACAAGTGAGTACATTATCGGCTGTACATGGATTATTATAATCTGATATCAACCCCAAATTGACGAGTATCAAATAACAGTAAGAATTTCCACTGCATGCATGAAAGAGAAGACTTGTAAATGAAGGTTAGTTGTATTTATGTATTTCATCAAGTTTATTAGATATCTTTGCGATCCATTGTCACAAGAAGTATTAATCACAGAATTGCAGAATATTTAGAAATAAAAGTTTTGAATATCGGACCTTAAAGGATTCAAATAAGTTTAAAATTTTGTACTTTCAATGTATTTTGCACTCAAAAGAACTCGCTGAATGTGGTGTCAATTCTTAGTATATTTTTTTCGGAATAAAAAAAGAATTCCACAAATTTTATATTGAATGAAACCAAGTTCAATGGTTTATTTATTACATATTTTGTCATGTTAATTACAAAGAAAGGTTTGGTTAAGGTGTAAATGTAATTACTTGAATTAGTCTTAGTCAACATTCCAATTTGTTTAGAGGTAAGAAATGAGATGACCATTTTACAGTAAATTTTATTATCCAATTTGTGACATGCAAAGATGTAGATGAGTAAATGAAAGTTCAATATAAAATGGAGATGCATTTCCTCAACCCGGACGGTGCCGACAGGCCTGCCTGTACAGATAAGGTGGCCGGCACTAAATCGGAGCCGCAGACATCAGGGGACCCTATTAATATATTTGTTTCGGCTTTTGTTACTTAAACAATTTACGACAAAGTCAGAAGGTGACAACCCAGAAGAACGCACACACGAATGAAAAGGACAAAGAGGTACCCAATCGACAGTGCTAAAGTCACTATCTTTATCCACGATTAACTGAAGCAAGAGTACGTCGTCACACGTGGCGGCGACAAGCGCATCGGGCTCTCAGGTAAAACGCACGGCTAACACTCTTTCAGATAACGCAGAAAAAAGGTACCAGCAACAAAAATGAACGAGGGAGAAGGGACAGTGAAGCCGAGGTTGAAGGCACTCCGCCCACTAAAGAACCTGGCACTTAAGGATCCGAAGAAACTAGTTGTCCAGGTAAGCAAGTGCTTAGATGATAATTAACGCAACTACACGAGAGGTTAACAATAAAGCTAGCTTTACCCACGCCGACGAATTGGTAGTGCGTGAGTAAAGCGAATGATTTACGAGGCTAATCAAGCTAACTTAATACAACTCGAAAACTCACGCCACCGTCGGAAAAGGACGATGCCTACGTCCCTATAACTCCAATTAGACCCTCGCAACAACCGCCGCAGGTAGCTCTGGTCCCCCCATTACGTTCGCTGAAGGAAGTCACTGATCCTAATAGGCCCTCCAGCAGTTAAAAGTCGGACGTTAAATACGGCGACGTAGACGGAGCTTTTACCGCAATACGGAAATTCCTTCAGGGAACACTTATTATTCACTCCTCACGCGAGCAGCAGGGGGCGTTGAAGGCCAGAAATCTGACGTTTACACAGCAAAGGAGTTAAATCCACGGGCGTAGACGCCGGATATACTGTCGCCATGCTGATCGAGAGTGGGTTTGAACAGAACACTGTCATATTTGGTCCCTTCAGAATTTGTAGTGGGAAAACGTAAATATAGAAATCCACAAAGGGAAAACTGGGTGATCGAAGTCTGTACCAAATATTTCAAAGTCCTATATAAACCTCAACTTAGTCAAAACACGGGTCGAGGAGGACATACACGTTATGCGCTGCTTCAAGTGCAATGCCTACGGACACACTCAAACTAGGTGTACTGAGAAAGAGGTGAGGCAATTGTTTTGATCCCATCCACTACCCAATTTTTTTACATACTTATGTGTAACACCCTGCATAATTAGCTATGTGATGAACGCACTTAGCCTGATAAGTGGAAGGACATCCTCAAACCTGGGAAAAAGCATCTGAATCCAGCCAGCTATCACCCGATCTGCTTCACCTATGGAAAAATTATGGGAGAGAATTATAAATGAGAGCCTGCAGTGGTATTTGGAGAAAAACACGATGTCCTGGGATCATATCAGGCTTGAGAAGGTATAGATCTTACAACTGATCACCTTGTTCTTATTGAGCATTCCATTCAAAAATCTTTTTGGAAAAGAGATCAGTTGTGGCTGTCTTTTTTGATATTAAAGGGTCTTGCGATATGGTTTGGGGACACGGTGTTCTCGAAAAGTTTTTCCTTTTAAACATGAAAGGTAATTTACAATTACTAATAAAGTCATTATTAAATAACAGACGATTTCAGGTGAGAATAGGTGATAAATTCTCCCACATGAAAATTGTACAAGACAAAGTTCCGCAAGGATCTGGCTTAAGCACGTTATTTGCTATTGCAGTAAATGTTGGCAATGATATATCCAGATATATGTTATAGACGTTAGAAACGTAATTACGTCTTTTCACTTGTTACATATTTCATAAACGATCCGAACCGGACACCATCTAAGGTTAATATGACTTTGGATTGGCGGTATTTTTCACGGAGGATGAAAAGCCGGTGGAATCCGAAAAAGATTGAGTGTTACGGTTTGTTATTTACAAACCATATTTTAAATGTGAACACAATAATCCATATATGAAACTGATATGTAAATATGAAGCTATTTTATATATACTGATATTTTAATGCACTTTGAGTGTACTATTAAACTCCTTCCGATTGCCAAATAAGTCAAAATTGCACCATTCCATTAAATTATGTCAATTTATTGCACTTTTACAGCACCATAAACTACGACCGTTTCTTTATAACGCCGTGTTTACAACTGTTGTTATCTTGTAATGATACGTATCAACCTTCTACTTTTAGGCGATAAAAACGTGTTTGATATAGAAATCACACCATACCAATATTTTCTACCTTTCTCCTTATTCGTATGATCCGATCGAGCTTTTATAAATTTGCTGATCTGAGAAGAAATATCTGAGAGTAAGTATATTTTTCAATCTAATTTATTATTGAATTTTATTACGTTCATAAATCCAGATTTGTGGGTGCGAAACATTTTTCCATAAAGTGGAAAATAATATTTTATTAGTATTAAATATTTAAATTGGCCGTTTCCCATTAAATTACTTTGTACGTAATTCTGATTTGGTTTACGGCTATTGATCGTAGAATAAAGTCAACGAGTGCTTCTAATGAAATTAATTTATAATTGGTTATAATCGCGCAACCGCTCCGGTTATTGGCGGCGATTTTAACAACTCGAGGGGAAATGAGATTTTTTGTAGTGCCTTTGTGACGAGCACGCGAAGAATTCTTTCCACAAACCTGTTTTTAATTAGAAGCTGTTGCAAAGTTGAATGCTATTGGTTGAAATATTGAACACCTGTATGTTTGTTTGTGAAGGCAAAAATAATTTCAGAATTCGACAAATTATTTAGCAGGTATCGAGTTTGAATCGTTTCATTTGAACTCTCTTTTTGTACATTAAAGCTTGTATTAATTTATTTTGAAGGTGTTACACATCTAGATTACATTAATGTAAATGTCAAGGTTTGGGAGAGATTTCCGGTGTAAAATGTATACCACTGCGTGACCAATTTTAATTACACGTCTACCTTAATTCCAGAAATATTATATCAAACAAGTATTTAAAGAATTCTAAACCAACAAATCAACTATTTCATGTTTTTGGTGTGTGCAAGAGACTACTTGTTTTATAAAGTTTTCCAACAGTTTCTGGTATCTAAGCAACAAAGAAATAATTTAATATATAACCGTCATACGCCACAGAAAATTGTAATTTACTCAAATAAAACTCAATGCCCAACCAATTATAAGAAAAATTCGAACTAGGAAACACCGCCCTAGAAAATTTCATAAAATATTTCGAAGCCAAATGTGAGATATTACACCAGGAATATGACATGCGTAATATCCTCCCTCAGCACCAAACGTTTACCACTTGATGTAACTCTGACCCCCAATTTCGATAATCAATTATATACAAGCCTTAAAAATAAACCGATACAACGAAATATCGAAGGATCCTCAGTATTACAATCACTTTTAACGACAATTTATTTTAATCTTACAAAATACATTTTATTGTTAACAAAAATGCATCAAATTCATGTCGTGGGCATTGGGATAATGCTCTTAATCTTGTTCCCAACGATCTCAGTGCAAGAATAACGATTTTGACATGTTTTGATCAAAATCCACGTGGTCGCCAAAAATAGATCAAATTTTTGTGTTGGTCATTGAGATAATGCTCTTGGTCTTTTTCCCCAACGATCTTAGTGCATAAATAGCGATTTTGGCATATTTTGAGCAAAATTCATGTGACCTCAGAAAAAAATATAACATCTTTGGATCACACACATGCGGTTATCGAATATGCACATGGTGTACTCTTTCCGCATCTAGATAATGCATTTGAAAGCTTTTACAACCCAAAATTCATGTGTAAAGAATAATTTTGAGTACATTTTGCTCTAAAACTTCTGACCTATATCACAGAGAAGCGTTATATTAAATTGTTACACATCTGAGAATCATAGGGAATAATCAGCGAAAGTCCGAACTCGATACATGAACTAGGGAATGAAATATGTTGATTTCTATTATATTGAGCCCGCAGTTTTTCCTGTTCCCGATTCACTCGAAATCCTATAACTTTTGTTCTCGTTGAACCAGCTTCCTGAAAATCAATAGCGTCGGTCCTCAATGTCTTAAGTACCCGTACACCAAATTTCAAAACAATCTGCCACTTTTAAAATGAGTTAGAACGCACACGGACGGACGGACGACAATACTAAACTATAAAGGATCTGAGGTGGAGTTATACCGTACAAGGAAAACTAGACTAAAAGCAACCGGATGCTGTTACCCGTCACTTTCACTATTTGGCCACCACTGAAAATATGTTGCAAAGAGATATTTCAAGAAAAGGATACGATTCGCTCCGTATATGTGTGCTGCTAAAGTGCAAAAAGAGTAGACAGCAATAGGCTACTTGAAATGCATTCGTAACATAGTTACAGGGTGGATAATACATAAACATTTTTAACACTGTTAAATGAAATTTATGTTGAGATAATGAAAATATTATAGCATTAACAAGAAAAAAATAGTGATTCATTGTAGGTTACTGTGTATATTAAAGACTGTGATGTTTCAACGATGTATTGGGTTAAAAATTTTACCTCCACGTCGTCGGTACGCCACTGTTTGTTGATCTTTACTTACCGACTCGTCGACTTGTAGTTGCTTCTGAGGTTATTAACTCGTATACAACTTGTCTTTTTTTTGCTTTGCCTATATAAATATATGTGGTAAATAAATAATGTGGTATTTGTATATCCAAAACCTAATTGGGGTAGATATTTAAGACAAGAATAATTTGGGAACGTTGACTCTGTAAAAGTCCCATCAGGATCCAAATCGATGGGTTACCTGAATTATACCTTTAAATCAATCAATACTGTCAAAAATAAAATAAATAATTCCATGTGGGTGTCGAATAGTAACTGAAAAATCTATTTTAAATTTAATACACAATTTGACACGAACAGCGAAAGCCTTGTAGGTAATTGCTGCTTTCTTCGCAAGCGCGTCAATTGACAAGTAAGTAGCTCAACCGCAATTATTTATTTTTATTTTATTTATTGTCCCTCTTGTTCTAGACCTTCAACAGGCTTACGCCCAATTACAGAGTGACCCCCGCATAATGCTTTTTAGTTGGTGGAGAGAGCAATAACAGGTATGTGATGCCCTTAGGTGTCCTGGGCCGCACGCGTGCTACACTGAAGGAATCAGCGTGTGCGCAGATAGCTTACGGCCGAGAGGCCCGGGTAATCTGCTGAAACTCCTTCGTGCTAGGGATTGGGACAAGAAACTCTTCCCCATGAACGAGGAATTCCCAGTAAGCGCGAGGCATAAGCTCGCGTTGATTACGTCCCTGCCATTTGTACACACCGCCCGTCGCTACTACCCATGATACTAGTAGTATCATGCTACTACCGATCGAACGATTTAGCGAAGTCTTCGGACCGACGCCCGTCGGCCTACCGTCGACGGACGCGTGGGAAAGTCGACCGAACTTGATCGTTTAGATTGGTGTTAAAATTATTCTATTTACGGCCTAACGTTGAATTGACTATATTTGGACTTATTATCCTATATTTTCTATTATGAATCTAATTTATACCCACTCCTAGCAAAATTTAATCTTCATCGCTATAAGAATTTGAGAAAAAATCTACCCCCTTAGTATGCCATCTGTGTATTTCTCTTGTAAGCTCGCTGTAATTAGTTTTGTTGGTAGAGTTTTTATTTCTTTCTTTTGCCAACCTAATGTACATGTCTGTATTCTCTCTTTTTTTGATTTTGTTTTCGCGTGTGCGTTGCTTGTCCTTTAGAAAAGATTCTGCTTTCTGTACATAGTTACTTGTAAAAGAAATGTAATACGCCGGTACTTCACTTGACTTTCCCTACCTGAAGAGGTAGTTTTGAATTAGCTAATATAATAGTTCTTTGGAGTTTTTATCTCTGTTTCTGATGTGTTGGTTATTTTAGGGTCCCATTCTTGAACGTGTGACTTCCGTGAGTGAGTGAGTATAACGCCATGTCGAGTGATTTTCATAATTTCGCATATTCTAGACAATTTTTCCAATCCCCAGTGCTATTCACAGTAGTCGTACCCCACCTTCCACTTCTCCTGTGTACGTTTATTCGTAAAATTAGTAATGTTTCCCTGTCACTCGGTTTTTATTTTCTTTTAATGCAGATAGTAGCATAAGTTTTTGCTCTTTTGAAGCGCGAGACATAATTTACTACAAACGATTTTTCTCGAGCGGTTCAAGAATAGGGGTCTTAGAAGTGAATTAGGCTGTGAGGTATGTATCCATTTTTATATGACTGAGCATTATTTTAACACGTGTATTTTTAGGGCTTTATCTTCCCTATATACACCCGAATTGTAATTAATATACTGGGTGTTTCATAATATATGCGCAGGAGTTAAAAAAAAATTCGTTTTTTTGCGAATATCTCTGGAACCATTTATCGTATAGAAAATAGTTTTTGTAAAAAATTCTCATAAGATGTTTTGTGCGAAAAAAAATGTTTTTAAGGTCATAATTTGTGAAGATTTTGAAGAGGTAGTGGGTGTAAAAAATGTATTTTTTTTATTAAGTAGGCTTCAAATTTTAAAATAAAAACTAGCTCCTGTCAAAATAATAATTATTTTGTACCTGCAAAAAGTAAATTTGTATTACAAAATTAAAAATGAATTACGTAAACGCTGAAATGTGCGAAATGCAGAAGCTGTCCTCAACGAAATTGAACAAAATCCGACCAGAAGAACCAGAAAAATTGTTGCATCTTGCGACATAATTCTGAGCACTTCGGGAATTTTTCTGCGTATTAGAGAGTCAATGCGTCGAAGAATTACTGTGTGCATTGAAGGTAACAGAGGATATTTGCAACATTTAACTGTGTATGATTTATTTTTTTTTAATTTTCAATTATGAAGTTAACGTTTGGTTTTGTTACTTGTTCTATCGTTTAAATAGTTTAATTAGTACAAAGAAATTTTATTTCAAAAAATTTACCATGTTTTTCGAAATAAAAGTTTGGTCACCAATGTAGTGTGGTCACTATTCAGCGTTTAGAATAAATTAAATAACACTAATAATATTTTTATATTTGATTAAATGACATATTCAAATTATCACCATGTAAACTAAAAAAACTGTTTCAGATCCACCCATGGATCGCCACAGTAGGGGAGTACTGTGGGATCCATGGGTGGATCTGAAACAGTTGTTTTTTTAGTTTACATGGTGATAATTTGAATATGCCATTTAATCAAATATAAAAATGTTATTAGTGTTATTTAATTCTTTCTAAACGTTGAATAGTGACCACACTAGTACATACACTAGTAGCCAAACTTTCACGTAATATACCATAGGCCTGCATCACTTAGTGCTTCCTGAAATGGCGCCCCCTATCCGGTTTACTTATTAACCAGCTCCTAGCGAGTTTATAATTTTGCGGTGTCTGTCCGTCGGTCCGTCCGATAGCACGATATCTCAATAACGAATGGACCGATTACAATGAAATTTTCTAGGTGGATTCTTTATAAAATTTGTAGATGAATTGGCAATGTAGCCCAAAAAATAAGACAGGACCTTATGACATTTCTATTAGTTATGACCTGAATTGCATGAAATTGAATGCTGGCATAGCAACCATATAATACGCTATTCCAAAAGTTGAGTAATCGACTGAATATTCAGTGTCCTTTTTGCATATCGACCATTTTTGCACTGAATTGCAATTTTTAGCGCATTTTTGAAAAAAATACGCTATTATATTCGTTATGGCTGGCAGGCCGGCTGCCCGGGTAAGATCTCAGGAACTACAATAGCTACAGACTTCAAAGTTTCACTAAAAGCTTTCTGCTGTAGTGTAGATGTGCAGGCTCTAGTCTATTTTGAGTTAGATGTGAGATCGATAATTGAAGAAAATAATTTCGATATGGTTTTCGGAGGTGCTACAATTTTACCGTTAGATAGCGCTACCAGTATAAAACCTTGAAACACTTACTTTGTGATTAGTTTTACAAAATAAAGACGTACCCTTAATTGAAATTAAATAAAATTAATTATTTAACGCAGCCAAAATTACTCGTGAGATCGATAATTTTAAACTTCGCTAATAAAATACGGACCTGTATTACCAAAAATGCGCTTTAATCATGCATATGCTGATTTACAACTTGTTTTTTATTTATGATGGTATTTGAATGAAATTTGATACATGGGCACTTGGAATAAAAGCAAATGTAACGCCAGTTTCAAAATTGTATTTTTGCTTTGGTGACTAGTTGCAGAAGAGAACCCCTTAAACACACCGACCCATCTCTATTTTGCCCGAGCTTAACGTGAATGTCACAAGGCAATGGAGAAATTTTACACAATCGAAATGTAACTGCAAACTTACCAATAAAAATCCAACCAATAGTATATTCATTTCGTTTCGCCATACTTTTTAATTATTGTATTGTTCGGTAGTTACCTTAATAAGTGTATTAGAAAATTCTCCACCCTTTTATGTAATCAATTTAGTCAAATTAAATTTCACTTCCATGTTATGGATGCGTTTTCTGTTTAAAGTAGTACCCCTTATAACTACGAGTAATTATTTTACTTAAATAACTTTTGATTACATTTCTAAATTTTTTTTATGTGCGAGTCGTGCCGGTAAGTGATTAAGGAAAGAAATTAATTCGTTTTTATTTACTTATAAGCGGTCGATTTCGAATATCGCCTGAATTAATTAAATAACAGTTTGCTAATCAGTCAGCTGAAGTACCATGAAGACTTCCATAAACAGTAGTAATGCATACGTGACAAAATTGCTTAAGCTTCCTTCGCCCTGGCACTTGTATGCTAAAACTGACGATAACTATATGTTTCAAGTTGCCGAATGATGTATTAGCTACCACAAATAAATCAATACAAAAAAGCGACATCAATCACACATTCTGCATGGTGCTCAATCAAATCTTTTACGTGCTCTGCTAAACGTGAATTGAGCCATAAACGGAAGTAGTTCGCGATAAATTCCCATTAAAAGGTATCGGTAATACGAAGATAGAAGTTAAGAGCAAGCAATAAAATAATTTTGCATCGCATTTAGAAGAGCTCACATTTACTGAACTTACCTGAATTCTGATCCCAGCGGGTGCTTAAAACGGTAGTTCGGAACTCGCATTCCTCAGGGCTAGGTAGAAATTAAATTGTATACATATAGATTTACTTATGAAAAATATAAAGTCTCTACATATAATAATTACATCTGCATACAAGAACAGTACGGAGCCAGTCAGTCTTTCGCGTATTGGCTTACAATCTTAACACTATATCACAGATCACGTAATGGCTTAGCATGATATTAATCAAAATCGGGTCATGGTGTGAGATTGTGAATTGTTCGGCGCTGAACGCCGAGAGGTGAGTGGTGTAAGTCCAGTTTTAATAATCTAAAACAGGGGATGCAGAACTTAAGTTGAAGGTAGGCGCACTTACGTTGTTTTCTCGGGAGATCAGAGGGGTGGCAGATGAGATGTAAGTGTCGTAGTCGTACTGGTTCTCGGTGGCGTGTCGTGGAATATATGCTGGTAATTGATGGTAGAGTGGCATTCTTTGCAAAGACCGAGGGGAGCTGAAGGGCTGTTGACTCGGCTCTCGTTGAATTGTGTGGTATTTGTGGGAAACCTGCCGTTTCATGAATAATATAAGAGTTCGCCAATTCGTCGCCTACACTTACGCTTTGCGGGTCCGTTTTCACAAAATTCGGCTCCCCCTGTAAAGTAGGTGCGGGAATCCGAAGGTACGTCCTCGTTTGTGGCGTACCTAAAGCTTCAAAAGCACGCTCCTCTTCGAGATACTCATCATCTGCGTTATTATGCGGAATGATATCGGGGTTCTTCTCCTCTAAGCTATTCACGCTACTATTCACTTCCGTTCGCAACAATTCCGAGCTGGTATTTTTGCTGGTTCCATTCAGAAGCACACTACCCGAATCGGCGATGCTTCTGTTATAATTTTTATCGTCTTCTTCTCCACCTCGTACGCGAATAATAATCACTATTACCGTCGCTATTAAAATAAGGGTCAGCACTAAACCAATTAAAGCCCCCAATATCGGAGTCAGCTGCTGGAAAGGATTTGCGATTGCTAAAAAAGTAGATTTTTACTAGGTTATGCGATCGGCGAATGTACCTGTGAATTCTTCCAAGGATTTTAAGGTAGCGGTCTGAACGCTTCTCAACTCGCTCCGCCCTTTTTTATTGGAAGCGTAAATAATAAGGTTTAATTTTCTACCGGATTTCAGTCCGCCGGCGAAGAATTCGGGTCGGTTGGAGGATATGTTACTAATCAATTTGTCCAGATAAAAATCGTACACTTCTAGGACAAATGTTTGCTGCAGCCCACCATTAAATCCCTCGACGCATGCAACTTGCACGGAATCGCCGGTTTGATTGACAACCGTGCAATTTGATAGGGGATCCGGTTTGCCTGCAAGAAATTTAAATTGCCTGCTTAGGAACTAAAATAAAAATGCAACCGTACCGGCGGGATTTATATAAAAAACGCAAGGTTCCTTTTGAATGCCGATGTTATTTACACCTTTACAAAGAAGCGTGCCGTAATCATGTTCGGTCATTGGGGTGTAAAACAGCTTACTGGTAGTTTTATTGGTAGTTATAAGACTCTGAGGCATGTCTAGCACTAATGCTTGATTGTCGCTGTTATTAAACTTCCATACAAATTGTGTGTTAGTGGGATTAGCCTCAACTTCGCAGTTAATTGAGACGCCTTCGTGACGAGCTACGTTGTATACCCTCTGCTGGCCTGATTTACAAATCGGAGCAACTGAAGGAGAAATACGTTTCAATGGTAAACTGAGGTACTACTTACTGTTACTTACTCACATTTAACGTCTAATTTCACCACGTTGCTTTCCCCATCACCCTCCCGATTACTCCCTATACACGTATAGCTCCCCGCTCTTGCCTTGCTAATACTCTGCAGCACCAAACTTTGATTACTCACAATTGTTCCACTAGCGCCATTGTTATAAAGCATTTGTCCCTGTAAAGGAAAACTGAATTGAATCTAGCCCACTTTTATTTCCAAATTTAATTTACGTTATGCCTCCAGCTAACTTTGTAGACCCAAGGGTTTGATTTAATATTACATTCAAAATAAACATCGGAACCTTCTCTGATTGTCAGGGCATTTAAGTTACTACCCAGCTCCAAGGTTACGACAGGGACGTCTGCAATAAACTATGAAATCAGCACACAACGTACTTGAGAGCTTTCCGAAACTTACGATAAATTTCCAATCTCCACCCATCTTCAATTGCACTACTTAATATAAGCGATTGTTGGCCTTTACACGAGAGATACTTCCCACCGTCGTCTGCTGAAGGGGTGAATGTTAAAACGCTCGTAGTTGCGTTACTATCAGGGCTCGTCTAAAATAACATTATCACTGCTAAATTTCTTTTAACTGGTAAGATAAAGTGTAAACGAATTGAAACAGCGAAAGTTAGGCACCGTGGGATTTGAGTTCGAACTTGACTGATGGACGTGTTCATTCGGAAGATTATTCGATAAATTATCAGGGGAGTAGAGGTTTTATTGTGATCTCGTTACAACGAATCAAAAAGTAGACTAACTTTATAATTAAAACAATTTGTACAAAAATTTAATTCAGGTGTTTAATTAGATCTTGTATCTCACTGACTTATTCTACCTGCTATGTTAAAACGCGAGAGTAGACAAATCCCCGAGAATATAAAACGACTGCCGTGATAACACAGGATTAGCATCAATTTATACCTTCCGGAGAGTAATTATTACAATACTAATCGGGGATTCAGTTAAACGTTGGGTTATTACGTGCTCTTTAAAGATTGAATAAGATAAGATACTTACAGTTTCCCTGGTGTCTGTAATTTGCACGCCTCCTTTCCACCAAGTGATCGTAGGACTGGGTCTCGAGCCGACCACTTGACAGCTTAGCTCGTATGTGTTATCGGCCGAAAGCGGCTTGTTTTTACCCAATAACTTTACCCAAAGTGGTCGAACTATAAAACAGATTTTTCGATATAGACTTAGACTGCGAGTGAAAATAGGTGTAGCACAAATATTGATAGAAACTTTTGCCAATTTCTACATCGTAAAACACACACCCCATAGTTTCAGCTTTTATACTTCCAAAACTGACCGAAACGTTTGGGAAACTACGAAACTTTTCAAGCAGTTGATTCGGATGAAAAAGTTCCAGTTACGCGGCAGTATAAGGAACTTGGCATAGAAATAATCCTCCCTTTCTCTCGTGAATAAATTTATTCGTCATCAAAAGCAGCGTGTGGTATTTACACGCGACTTGTCGAATTTAGAAAACGTATTGTAAATGAGATGCAAATACGTATGTGTACTTACGATTCATGTCAAGAGTCACCGAACTAGAAATTGGCGCAATTAAATTGTTATTAGATGCCTGGCAGGTAAATACGGTATGCAAATCTTTCCGCTCCAGGCGTTTGATGTGGAGTACATTCTGGACTTTTCTTTCCGATAAATAATCATAGGATCCGTCCAATAGAGCATTTTCCTGCCACCATGTCACTTTGGGTAAAGGCCTTCCTGTGAAGTTAAATTTCAATGTACGCACGTTTATTGGTCATTGTGTATTACCTCCCGTAGCTACACAGGTAATATTGATCGTTTCGCCTTCATTGTAGGGCCCTAAGATGTAGTGAGGGATTTGGACACCTTTTTCGTTTAGTATTATTACTTTTTCTGGAGGAACTATAAAAAGTGAACTTATTGCTAACAGTTATAGGATATAGGCTTATAGTTTCGTGCAGCATTTGGTACAGTATTCACACATTGGTTTCCAAATTATTAAAACGCGAAAATATTGTACAGCATAGCAAACAGACTCTTTAAAAAGAGATTATTGGATCGTTGACTTTTTTTGTTGTGCTACTTCATAACATATTAGGTACTATAAACTCGGATAATCGGATTGGATTTTATTAATTTAATGCTGTAAATTCGCCCCCGGAATATTCGTGCCAGAATTTCAAATATCGTCTATTAGTTATGATATTTAAAATATTAAAACTCGACTTTGACGCGGAACATGACTGCACGAGTCAAAATTTTGCTTTTGCTTGTGTAAAGTCACTCAAATTATTGATTCTTATTGAACATTGTTTTAGTATACGATTGCCGAGTGTCAGACGTTAGCATTGCTTTCGCAATATTTTATGTGCCGCGATATTCACTACCCCTATTATTTGTTTGTTTGTGCTGTTGTATGTTACAGATTGGTAGAAAGCACCCTTATTGAGCTCGAAAGGGCCGCTGCAATCTGTAGTTCAAAAGGTAATTTTTCGACGACTCCTTGATATGTATAATGTTTGATTACATACTGGTTTTCGAAGCAATAGAATTGTAATGACTACCTTTGTTTGATATTCATTTAACGATTACAGTCGGCCAGGTCAGACTTGGCGCTCCTAAGTGCATTGCAGTTAGTTTTCCCCAAAGCTTCCATGCAACTGGAAGAAAAAACAAACCTGCTTGATTGTTGTCAGACCAGTTAGACCCGACTATCCGACCCGGAACGTGCACTGGATTCAGTGTAGGAGGGGCGAGGTGCGCGTCATGTATTTGTTTTCTTCAGACATGACCAGACCGGCTCAGATTATCTGGTCGAGAGAAATTCCGCTTCCAATATAGTCTGCCTTGATTTCCCCTTTTGGTAAGTATTCCCTCCTTTTTTAAAATTTACTAAAGACTAAGTGGTGCCTATACGGTTTGCTATTACTACTTTTCCCTTTTGTTCCGTTTTGATAGTGTACAAGAACCCCGATATTCACCGCGATCTACCTCTACTTTGCCTGAGCTTACCGTGTGAACCACTTGCTCAAAAAGTGCAGTATTAATTTTTTTAACTGGATTCATTATCATTCTTTTCTTTTGCAGCCGACGGAAGCTTTCATGTGGAAGATGAAGGAAAATTAATATTTTATCATTTCAGTTTCGTCTCGCCGCACAGAATCAGTGGAGGACTAATAGTGGTACAGACGAACAATAGCGTTCAAATCGCAAGGACGCCCAAGTGTACAAAGATATCGCGATCTTACGATGACCCAAAAATTCAAGAATCGATTAACCTGGACTTTTGAATTTAGAAATTTTAGCCCGGGTAATTAGGTAAGTATAATTAGCAGTAGGTATTTAATTAGATGTAGTAAACGCCGGAGTGTACTTATTGTCATTTGAAGCGCGCTTTAAAAAAAAATTAAAATTTTAATTTAATTTTTAATATTAAATATTGTATTTTTTAAGAAAAATTTTTGATATTTATTTATCTTGATTTTTGTGCAGGGTCCCAGATTTTTATGACATCGGGTAGAATTAATTAAAGTTTTAATTTTGTAGCAGTTTGTACCAGTTCGTCGTGATTGCTGGAAAATCCAGTCTCACTTCCCGAAATTGCCGAATTTTATATATATTTTATATATAAAGTGGAGCGTTACGAAGGAGGGGTCTTTTTGATCTTTGAACGTTGGCCTTTACTTTTAATGTCAAGGTAAGTGTTTTTTTATTTGTTTCCCCGTAAATATATGTAGTTAAATAATTGTTGATCCCGTTCCCGCTTTGGGAAATGTCTTTGTCTTCCACGTGCCGTAATTCTGCTGTAGATTATTCAACAGTGGCCGTCCGATCCCTGGGGACCGTTTCTCTGGGGGATTTATCTTTGGCTTCCGAAACCATTCCGCCAATCTTTGACCAGGAGCGAAGTAACTTCTGGTGGCGCTAGAGATTTACTGCACCGTCCCACACAGACTATCGTTTCACGGTTTGTTGTAAAAGGAGTCTGATACATTTGTAATTGCTCTATTTTGGCAAATTAAAATTTATCTTTTGATCCGACAAATTTTAGTATTTCACTTGAAGTGACCGTTTTGCGCGGACATCACCACAAAGTTCGTAGGACTGTCAGCTCAAGGTTTCCATTTGCCCCTCCTTTGCCTCCCCAATTCTGAGGAGGCAGATTGTTGCCTGGATTGAAATTACACTGAATGAATGCAACTTTGCAGCAGTTCTGGTTGCAGTAAGGGCCGAAAGGTTAGGTTTCAAGAACGCATTGTACCGTAGTTGCAGATCAGCCTCTTTTTGCGGATGCTGTACTTGCTACTTCCGCAACGTATAACGCGGACGCTGAGGAAAAAGCAGGGCGCTATAACTATGCCTTGTGCAGAACACACACCGCTAACCGGCCAGCTAGCTCTATTGACTTAATAGCGGGGCGAGATACGCTCTTATTCAGGGCGAGGGCGAGGTATTTAAAAATAATCGTCAGTGGTTCACGGGACTCAATCCAAACTTGAAGGTTGCTACAGATACATACTATTCGTTCTTAAGTCTTCGGGGCGCCACCTAGCTTCAACATAAATTTCTCAGCCAGCCACGAAATCTAAGAAGTACAGCTTAGCTGAATAAGGCCAATATTTAATTTCTTATTAATTTATTTTCAGTAAAATGGTACGATGGTACCTCATAAATACGTAAACACAAAATTTAAATGCTCTAAATGAATATGTAAGTACGTATTTAAAAGTAATATCTCCCCGACATGAAATATGGGTAATTCTCCACAAATTATGGATATCAAAACTCCTGAATATATGTGACCCGATCTACCGTTAGGTACATAAAAAAAAGAAACAAACGAAATTGTAAATGAATACGTTAATATGACGCTGGTGGGTGGTTTGAAATTAATTATTCGTATTAGAGCTCCTTACGTTACAAAATCCATTACCGGCAGTAGTAATTCTGTATGAGTTAATGAAAATGAAAATGATCCCTAAATACCAAGCGTACTGATTAAGGTAATAAGTTGGCTTTGAGTTGAGCCACAATAGGTCGATTTTACAGTAAGTTAAAATGCAAACTAATAAATAAAAAAAATACAAATATCACCAAGCGATAGCGCGTTGTCGATGTTTATTGGACCCCGGTGAAGGTGGTGAAAGTTCCGTCGAACAGGTAGTGCACGTCCAAGCTCTGCGGCTGGGCAGATGGATGGTGGGCTCTTTCAAGAAGGTTGCGTAGTAATTAAGATGTTAACGGGGTGCACTGCACTTCAGCAAAGTCAAACCGTTCCTCGGAATTCAATAAAATCTCTCTTATCACACCAACACATACACAGGCAAACGGGAGAAATGACTCCCTTACAATAACTAAAATAATACTAATTACGATCGAATCAACACAAAAGACTAACGATGACCTCCGAACTGGAGAGTTTAAACAAAATAACTTCGACGATGGATCGATATAACAAATTTTTATGGTCGGAATAGTTTAATAAGGTGCTTGATCCCCTGAAAAAGGAAACACTGGTAATAGAAATTCGAGACGAATGGATAACTTACATTAGAGTGATTTAACCGGTCCTTAAAGGTCCTTTCCGGAATGTTTGTTGCCGTACATATAAATGGATATCGGTTCAAACTTAACTGGTTCAATGGTTAGAAGATGCTTTCGCTAATTGCTTAATAACCCATCGACCTTTGGACACACGGGAAAATCTCTCACGATCGGGAACAACCACAACTTAGTACATACTTAATGCCATGCCGATTCTTTCTTTCAAAACTTTTTATTATCCAAAGCTCATGACCATTTATCTTTACCCAGTGGGATTTGAAATACAGCGTTACATGACCATATATGGACATTACAAGAAAAATGTTATCAACAATTTGATCAAAGAAAAATAACATTGAAGTCTGTTATCAATCCGACAACTTAAAAGTGAAAAACGTAACTAACGACTCGAAATTTGGGTCGCATTCAACCTTTATTAAAATAATGTAATACTATAATATTGCATGAAAATAAAATGAAATTCTAGTACCGTTTTCAAACTGCTACAAACGGTTGGATCGTGGCGGTAGAACTCACGTTTTTCCTTTCCTGACGTTGTATCACACCCACTAAAATTGTGAAGAAAGGATATGCAATTGGAGCCTAAAAGTATTAGCTTTTGAAGCGGGAACATTCTCCCCTTTTCCTTTCCCTGGTTTGAGAAAGAAAATGTTCTAGGTAAGTGGATCCTGTTACCGAGTGTTACATAACCATTAGAGAAAATGTCTAACCCAAGTGTCTCCTTACATACGATATACTATATTGGGTGTAGCATCTAAGACTCATCCCATCATAATTCCTTTCCTATACAAGATATCGAAAAAACTGTTCAATTGTAAACATTTTGAAATAGAAAGAAATGATTTTATAGATCTTAAATTCCAACTCAACTATCGAATAGCCATTACCAAAAACCGTGAAGTATTTTTATTAAACAATAAAATCCGAAAACATTTTGGAAATGTTTATGATAAATGTTTAAAAGAAAATATTTAAAAAATAGGATAATAGTAAATTAAATAGTATGCAGAGGCCTCCACGCGGCTAGGGAGGGTAACGAAGTCTAGGTAACCCTGAAATAAGGGATAAAAAATCCTAGATACCGCTAACGTCTATATAGAGAACAAATTACAAAGGTAAAGAAAAATACAAGAACATAATGAAACACGGGATGTACGTGTAAATAATAAACAAAAAAACTACAAGCCGTTATGAAAAGAAATAACAAATGTGGTCAAGAAGTAATTGAGCGGCTAAAAAGTACTTGGAATGATGAGTGCAATTACTGCCTGAATTGTTTGACTTAGTCGAAGGCTACGTACCTGACGAGTGTACAGTAAAACAAAAGTTTGAAGAAAAGTACGAAGACACTAGGAATAAAAAAGTTGGTATTGTTTTCGAAATATCGAGTAAAAAAGTTTGTCGGAAAGTTCAGAAAAAAAGTGAACGAAAGGGAGGAACGGCTTCGAATAGTAGAATCAGCTGCAGGGGTGATTCGGAAGGACATAAGAACATAGGTTTATGCTATGTCATTATATCCTCCAAGGCTGCATTCCAGAGTCTCATGATGCCCTCCCCAAAAATGAGATTACAAAAGGAATCTCCCGAACTGTTGGGTTTAAGGAAGGTCCACGATTTCCTTGACCCTGTTCGGACACTGAAGGTTCCCTACTACAGATTCAGTGGTTCATTACTACCATGGAATTTAAAAAGACCTCATCTTGTGCATGACGGAGAACCGAACTAAAATGCGCAACGATTTTTGGACAATGCCAAGGTATCGCGTGTTTGTACTCCAACAGAAAACTTCGACGAAACTATCCCCGATGAACGCCTTCAACCAGACTATTGGCTTTCAGACAATGCTATATGCGTAGTACATGCGTCTCTGGCATGCAAGGATTCTAATTGAAAAGAATAGATGAACATTTACATACAGTGTGAGCCTTTGAAAACTCACTGGCGATTTTTTTAAAAAGATATCAAAAAAATAAAAAATACCATTTCTTGAAAATCGAGGAGAATCCAAATGACATTTTTTTAATTATCCCCATCAACCCCTTAAACACAACCCATACTGACGTAAGAATCTTAAAATACCCCACTTGTTATACCCCTTTGGAAAACTGCATTTGCGGTAGGACCACAATAATAGTCAGAATTCTACGAAATTTAGTGGGTACACCCTTTATGTATTTAAGATTTATAGCTTTACAAAAGAAAGTTTTATCGCCTCCCCAAAACGTGATGGAGCATGCGCAGACCGAATGTAGACCAAATGCCATTTTTCGTAAAGCAACTCCAGCAGCTCGTTGCATACTAGAGTGAATTACTTTATGTATGGAGTGTTTTGAGGGTCGGAATAACGATTTTTTCGTTATCGTGCCAGAAACCCAAAAATGAAAAGTCGAGAAAAACCATGGGAATAATTTATGGCATCAGAATATTTAACTACATGTTGAGCTGGGAAATTAGGAAACCCTAAATTAAATTAAGGTAAGAGGAAACAATTGTTTAAAAACACTTTGATTTACATTTATTAATGATCAATAGGCGAAATGAAGTTTCTATAATTATCTGAGCAGATCAGTCAAACGCATTATGGAGAAAATGTATAGTTAGTGTGAGCTACAGGGGCGAAGAAATCAGCTTTTCAATTTGTCTATTCTCATTCGTAAGCACAGTCATTTCCTTAAAGCATAACCATTAATTACTATTTCCTCGCACATAAATGGACAATGATTTGCTTTGTCATTCGAATAACATCACAAGTTATTTGTACTATTTTCAAATGATTGATTAAAATTCATCCTTGTTTTTGTGAATAGGGAGATTAATTTTTCAGCGAAAGTTTGTTATTGCAAAGGAGCGGCGGCGTGAGCTAAAATATGTACTTATAAAAATCGTTAAACTCCGCAGTGAAATATTAATTTATCTTGTTGCTTTCTTAGCGTAGGCCTGAAAACTTTCGGAGGATTTTTCCGGAGTAATGGAAGACACGTGATTGATGTGTAGGACTTGTACAATTGTGCAGATTAATCTACCCTTTATTTCAAAACCTTCTGGAGATGGATTATAATAGCTTAAGGACGTGTCCTACACTCTCCCTATTGTTTTATTTACATAATCCATCTCACCTTTCGTATTTTTCAGTTGACGCAGATGAACTCTTTTAACTTTCTTGGATACAATTTTGTAGATGCGATCTCGTTGCGTGGGAATTTATTCGCGGCGCGAGATCTTAAGCACCGTATAGTTAAAGGAACAAATTACACCCTGAGGAGATATATGTTATTGATTATGATTGTTTGCGTCAGCACCATTTTGATAAATCCGGGTTGAATTAAAATTTATTCAACATACCAATGACATCAATTGTATAATCAGGGTCGGGTATGGGTGAGGGAAGGCGCCCGCTACTGACCCGGGGCCTCAACAAAATATCTGAATTTCGCAGCAACTTTTACGTTTTTTTTCAAAACAGTCTACGAAATACGAGTAATATATCCATATTTGTCCACTTCAATCCGTAAAACATGATGCAAGTATGTAAGAAAGTCCTAATTGCAAGTTTCAAATATACAGTTTTATTCATTTAGAAGTAGTAGACATATGGATTTCCTATGTCTACTTTTAAATGACAAAAACTCTTCTGAACGATGCCTAAATTCGGCCGCTATTTCCCTTAAGTTTCTTATGGGATTCTCTTCCACAAAAATTAAAATGCTCATATCCTCCGTTGAACCTGAGGGTTGTTTACGGTGTCGCAATTACACAACCACTAATTTTAAAGTGTTCAACACAGAAAATAAGTCTTACGATCCTTAAACTGTTACCGACACTATGACAATATCAATTTTTTTGTCAATTAAATACATCGCACGCGAACGAAAATAAAGATACGGAAGCAAAAGCAAAAATATATTTAATTTAATTAATATGACAGGCAGATCTTCATTTGTTTTAAGAAGTTATTTTGGTTGCATGAAATTAGGCGTCTTTCAGAAGAGTTTTTGTCATTTAAAAGTAGACATAGGGAAAACAAAACACACAAATCCCTCTGTCTACTTCTAAATGAATATCACTGTATAAGTAATGTTGTTGTTTTTGACTTGAAATTTATTTATTTATTATTAAAAAGTCAATTTTGATATTTATTTGTTAAACGAGTTTTTTAATAGGTATTGGAATCTAGAACCAAATGTTTGTTATTGGTTTTGATATCGAAAAATGAATCTGATTTATTTAAATTTTGCTGTGAAGATTTCAAAATATGCAACGATTGTGCATTTAAATCAAGTATTCGTCTGTAGCGGGGAATTCCTGAAATGTTATTAAGCTACGGACGTCTCGCAACAAGCATATTCATCTGAATGTATATCTACCAACACACGTAAGTATTTTTGTATGTATATTGTGATCTATAATATAGCCATATTTCATTGTGCATTTCTTAACATTTCTTTTACAGATGGTATCATGAGTGATCGTCATATCGAGTTTTCGATAATGGTCCCCAGAAGAGTAAATGCATAGATGGAGATGAGGTCGATAGTAGCCAAGATAATCTAGTTGTTGCATCAGGCGAGACCATACAATCTTCAAAAACTCAATCGACTGTCGATCGATTCTGGCTTTGTTTTACACTAGGGAGCGAATACATTGCCATGTATATTGATAAATAATCACTTTAAAAAATTGATAAGGCTTCGGTGACTGGAAGCGTGCATCTGAGCGCGCCTATAGGGGCATGCGATTTCGAAGCCTTCCAAAGAACTCATCGAGCAATGGGTATGTTGGAATTGCTAGCAGAGTAAGAACCAACCTTAGCTATTTTTTTTAAAACAGCATGCAAACAAAGGGAACGGTCAGGTCAGTTACATTTCGTCCTCGAAGTTCCATGGGTGATCAAGTAAGTACATAGAAAGGATGAAAAAATCATAGCACTATTCGGTTTCAGTCGACTCTACTCCCGACGTGTGGTCTCGAAACCGCTCTATTTGGATCATTTTGGAACGACATTTTGGAGTGATCCAACGGAACAAGTAAGATTTTGTAAGATCAGAGACTTCTTGAATCTACTGTGCGTGCATTGGAGCATTTAAATCATTCTCCCGATCTAAAAAGAGACGAAGAAGCAGCAAGTACACAAATTCCAAATACTCCTCGAGGATAAAATTCACGATACATAAACACTGTATATACATTTTCACTCAAAACATACATTCAAGCACATCAACACTGTAAAATTAAATCTTCAGAAAATTTTCACAAGGAATGGCTATAAGTTAGTCAATAAGTTACTCTTCTCGGGCTTGACCCAACCCTCACAAAACTCACCCTCTACAGACAATAAGCAAGTAGTGTAAAAAAATTAATGTACATTTCACAATTAATAGACAAAGGACTAATCTCAAAAAAGCAACAGTGAAATAAAACTCAAAATAGCACCATACTTTTTCAGTTCAAATTTTTTGTACTAAATTAAAAGATAAGTGTGGTGTCACACTATGCGTTTTTACCGCTCCCGCTAAAACGCTCCTGTTTGACGGGATGATAATAGCACACGTTATTAAATTGTACCAGTCATATATATGCGTTTTCGCCGCACCAACCGGATGCAACCGCATCCTGCTGCCGCTGCGCAGGATGAAATGACAACCACAATGACATGAAACCACGTTGGTTGTCATCAGTTGTCACACTGAGCGTTGCAACTGGGTGTTTTGTTAGGTTTACAATGTTTGATGTGGGTTTATTCATCGAGTGCGTGCATGCAAAAACTGCACTGCGGGAAAAACAATCTAAAGAGTACAAACTGTATAGGGAGAAATCATGGGTAGAAATTGAATTTTTGGACATTCGGTAATATACAAAAAAATTTTTCTTGTTCATTCGAAATTTTTTCATAAAACTTCGAGAGCTGTTATTAGATTCTCGTCCTGAATTAAAAGGAGCAATCCAATATTGAGGATATATCTGCTTTCGCAATAACCCCTCCGCCTCAAGCCATCTTTAACAATAATTGAGCCATGACACTACTTAGACTGCCAAAATATAGCAAAAACGCATCCCGTTAGACCGGAATAGTGTGACAAGTAGATCTCATCCTGTCAAACCGCATCCGTTTTAGCGGGAGCGGTAAAAACGCATAGTGTGACACCACACTAACACACCCTTATTAAAGAAATCACACACCATCTACTGCATAAACTGTAAAGAGTATAACGGAAAATATGTAGGACAAAGTCGGCAATGGCAAAATGACGAATCAGTCAACCTCAACCTGATGTCATGATTTTAGACAATGAACCAAATTACTATAATGCTCTTTTACCTTATTCGCCATATGGCATTAAAAGTGTGAGCACGTCTAGTTGTCAATCCATGAAAACGTTTTCCGTTTGGGTAATTTCAACATTGATCTTTTAAAATGTGTTGATTATATGTAATGTGCCGTTAATAATGTTATACATTTATCTGATTATGTTGTTTGCAATGCAGCATTAGACAGTAATCAATTTCATTCGTCTATTTTTCAATATAAAAAAAGTTATGCGAGGGTAGCTGTCTATTTTAAACATGTCCCTTTTCGATGGCGTCGTTCATCCGCGCCGTGCAAAGAATTAATTTAAAAAAATGTGATTTAATAGTAATTAAAAAGAAATATATAACTTCTAGAATGTTTCATTTTAATGTGTAATCTCTACAAGCCAGAAGATGACCGTTGGCCGAAACTAGTCGCTTTACGTCATGTTCAATTAAATTTAATATGGCGAAGGTTTTGTGTTTAATGTAACGACTCTAATCTTGGAAAAGGTTATGATAGATCAATGAACACACCTTGTTAAGGATAATCTCTGCTGGAGGTCTGTCGCAACAAAGTTAGTAGCCGTAAGACTGTCGTGTATGATGAACATTGCATTTCATTGGCCACTGTGAGAACGGTTCCGAGAAGGACGCGAAGCTGCGCAAAGACGATCCAAGACCAGGCCAAAGCCACCTATCCCGCAACAGTATGTACATATTGACAAGAACGAAAGATAAGCATCGATGAAGTGGCAAAGCGTGTGAACATCACGGTTCAGTTTACACGATAATTAATGATTTTCTCAGTTATCGGCTTTTGTGTGCTGAATGTATAATAATATATCCATATTTGTCCACTTCAATCCGTAACACATGATACATATGTAAGAAAGTCCTGATTGCAAGTTCCAGATATACAGTTTTATTTATTTAGAAGTAGCAGACATATGGATTTCCAATTATACTTTTAAATGACAAAAACTCTTCTGAACGACGCCTAAATTTATGCTACCGAAATAACATGCGCACGCATTCTGCGCTGTCATTCTGTATTTGAATAAAGAGAGTATACTTTTAGGTTATGATAAAGAGATATTAGATTCGGCCGCTATTTCCCTTAAGTTTCTTATGGGATTCTCTTCCACAAAAATTAAAATGTTCAGTTTCATATCCTCCGTTAAAACTGAGGGTTGTTTACGGTGTCGCAATTACACAACCACTAATTTTAAAGTGATCAACACAGAAAATGAGTCTCTCACGGCACTATACCAATTAACAATATCAACTTTCGTCAATTGAATACATCGCACACGAACGAAAATAAAGATACGGAAGCAAAAGCAAAAATATTCCATTTAATTAATATGACAGGCAGATCTTCATTTGTTTTGAGAAGATATTTCGGTTGCATGAAATTAGGCGTATTTCAGAAGAGTTTTTGTCATTTAAAAGTAGACATAGGGAAAACAAAACACACAAATCCCTCTGTCTACTTCTAAATGAATATCACTGTATAAGTAGTATGTTGTTTTTTTTATTTATTTATTATTAAATAGTTAATTTTGATATTTATTTGTTAAACGAGTTTTTTAATAGGTATTGGAATCTAGAACCAAATGTTTGTTATTGGTTTTGATATCGAAAAATGAATCTGATTTATTTAAATTTTGCTGTGAAGATTTCAAAATATGCAACAATCGTGCATTTAAATCAAGTATTCGTCTGTAGCGGGGAATTCCTGAAATGTTATTAAGCTACGGACGTCTCGCAACAAGCATATTCATCTGAATGTATATCTACCAACACACGTAAGTATTTTTGTATTTATATTGTGATCTATAATATAGCCATATTTCATTGTGCATTTCTTAACATTTCTTTACAGATGGTATCATGAGTGATCGTCATATCGAGTTTTCGATAATGGTCCCCAGAAGAGTAAATGCATAGATGGAGATGAGGTCGATAGTAGCCAAGATAATCTAGTTGTTGCATCAGGCGAGACCATACAATCTTCAAAAACTCAATCGACTGTCGATCGATTCTGGCTTTGTTTTACACTAGGGAGCGAATACATTGCCATGTATATTGATAAATAATCACTTTAAAAAATTGATAAGGCTTCGGTGACTGGAAGCGTGCATCTGAGCGCGCCTATAGGGGCATGCGATTTCGAAGCCTTCCAAAGAACTCATCGAGCAATGGGTATGTTGGAATTGCTAGCAGAGTAAGAACCAACCTTAGCTATTTTTTTTAAAACAGCATGCAAACAAAGGGAACGGTCAGGTCAGTTACATTTCGTCCTCGAAGTTCCATGGGTGATCAAGTAAGTACATAGAAAGGATGAAAAAATCATAGCACTATTCGGTTTCAGTCGACTCTACTCCCGACGTGTGGTCTCGAAACCGCTCTATTTGGATCATTTTGGAACCACAGTTTGGAATGATCCAACGGAACAAGTAAGATTTTGTAAGATCAGAGGCTTCTTGAATCTGCTGTGCGTGCATTGGAGTCGTTTAAATCATTCTCCAGATCTAAAAAGAGACAATTTTGATAGATACGAAGAAGCAAGTAGACAAATTTCAAATACTTCTCGAAGATAAAATTCACGATACATGAACACTGTATATATATACATTCAAGCACAACATCAACACTGTAAAATTAAATCTTAAGAACATTTTCACACAATGGCTATAAGTTAGCCAATAATTTACTCTTCTCGGGCTTGACCCAACCCTCACAAAACTCACCCTCTACAGTCAATAAGCAGTGTACAAAAAATTGTACATTCCACAATTAATAGACAAAAAGACTATTCTCAAAAAAAGCAACATAGAAATAAAACTCAAAATAGCACCACCATTTTTCAATTTAAAATTTTTTTACTAAATTAAAAGATAAAACACCCTTATTATAGAAATCACACACGATCTACTGTATAAAGTGTAAAGAGCATAACGGAAAATATGTACGACAAAGTCGCCAATGGCAAAAAAGACGAACCAGTCAACCTCAACCTGATGTCATGATTTTAGACAATGAACCTAATTATTATAATGCTCTTTTACTTTATTCGCCATATGGCATTAAAAGTGTGTTAAACGTTTTCCGTTTGGGTGATTTCAACGTTGATCTTTTAAAATGTGTTGATTATATGTAATGTTAGAAAATTTATAATGTGCCGATAATAATGTTATACATTTATCTGATTATGTTGTTTGCAATGTAGCATTAGAGTCATCAATTTAATTCGTCTATTTTTCAATATGAAAAAATTATGCGAGGGTAGCTGTCTATTTTAAACATGTCCCTTTTCGATGGCGTCGTCCATCCGCGCCGTACAAAGAATTAATTTAAAAAAATGTGATTTAAGACTAATTAAACAGAAATATATTTATAATGTTATAGTTTTTATGTGTAACTTCTAGAATGTTTCATTTGAATGTGTAATCTCTACAAGCCAGAAGATGACCGTTGGCCGAAACTAGTTGCTTTACGTCATGTTCAATTAAATGTAATATGGGGAAGGTTTTGTGTTTAATTTAACGACTCTAATGTTGGAAAAGGTTATGATAGATCAATGAACACACCTTGTTAAGGATAATCTCTGCTGGAGGTCTGTCCCAACAAAGTTAGTAGCCGTAAGACTGTCGTGTATGATGAACATTGCATTTCATTGGCCACTGTGAGAACGGTTCCGAGAAGGACGCGAAGCTGCGCAAAGACGATCCAAGACCAGGCCAAAGCCACCTATCCCGCAACAGTATGTACATATTGACAAGAACGAAAGATAAGCATCGATGAAGTGGCAAAGCGTGTGAACATCACGGTTCAGTTTACACGATAATTCATGATTTTCTCAGTTATCGGCTTTTGTGTGCTGAATGGATGCCAAAAATTTTGAACGTTCGCCACTGACGGAGAGATTCGATGCTGCTTTGACCCATCTGATCCGGTATCAGGCATGAGGGCGACCACTTCTTTTCCGCAATTGTGACTGGGGACGAATCATGGTGCCCGCACCACGACAGCAAAGCTTACAATGGAAAGAAAGGAAAGGTCATCATTTCCGAGAGAAAGGTGCAATGGAAAGCTGAAATTTATAGTCCTTATACTTCTTCCTAAGAATTGCCGTTCAAAATGTTGAATTGCATTATCGAATTTACATTCCACAGGATATGCAGACAATGCCTAGTCAGTAAAGATACCTATTTGTGTCTCTTATACAGGGAGATTTTCTTAAATGTATACTTTAAAAAAATGGATCAAAAGCATGGAATCACGATACTTAGTATCAAGGCATGGAATAGATGGCTGTAGGCAACCACCCCATGTCAATATTTCAACCTTATCGTCTTTGTCATACATCTTCGTGTTAAACAATCACAATTTGATTAATGATAAAGGGTAATAGCTGACATCCCTTTAAAGTATACATAGTCCACATTTACAAAAAATTCTATGTATGGATAAAATATACAATTCTAAGAATATACGTTATAAAATGTGCCAAATTCTTGACAGAAGAGCTTCCTAGCTCAGACCAAAAAGCGTTCTTCACCGTTTAATGTCACCGCACGCTTAGTCGATGTAAGTATCGAAAGAGGTGATGAGTTTGTTGATTATCTGAGAAGTACAGTCTGTAACAATCCACGTGGATTACCGAAATCATATACCGGAAAAGTTCAATCGCTAGTATCAAAAGACAACATGCCGGCCCTTCAAAATAACTTTCTTATTTATGAATAGATTTTGCTGAAATTTTAATAGCACTTTTTATTAAAAGTAAATCGATTTATTCTGTTTAGCGTTTCAAAAGCTGCGTGCACGCATGCGCAGAGGTAAATTTCTTATTCATGGATCCATATTTTTAAAATTTTAACAAAAGTACCTGTTAATAAAAGCAAATTGATAGATTATACCTATGCAACATGTCAAAAATTACGGCCACATATGCGCAGACGATTTTTTTAATGTTAAGAGAAGCACCTTTTAATAAACGCAAATTGATCGATTGTATTAAACATTTCGAAAGACGCGTGCTAGCATATGCAGAAGTAAATCTCTTTTTGTGAATTAGACACTTCGCTTAGAAAAAAGTGAAGCGACCAACAAAATGATTCCGTTCGAAAAAGTGAAGGTTTGAAGAAACTAATTTTTTATTATACCTGCACCACATCTCCGTTTTAAACACTCACTCCGCTTCGTGTCGTGCCCTTAAACTCGTTGCGCGTGCTTTAAAGACTTTGTTGTACTCAAGCGTTTTTGAGTATTTTTAATTGATTAATCCGAGTGTCCGTAAGTCCTTGTTTATCCGGTAATTTCGCAAACCAATGTTTGAACTTTGTAAGAGTTCCCTTAAGCGTAGCGCGTTTTCCCACTAACTATTCGAACTTTACGCGCATTGTCACCGTTGATATCATCAATTCCGTCTGTATGAGGCATGTTTGAATGAATTGTATTGTAAGTAATGTAAGAAGGTAAGTATTTGGTAACTAATTGGAAGTCACTTACTCTTCCTTCCGTCCGATGTGCAATTCAACAATGTCCGTGAAAATTATTAGTGAAATGTGTGAGAAATCCGATGCACCGTAATTCACTAATACCCTTTGTGTACTGTAGGTAGCTTTAAAATTCACTTGCAAACCGCAATACGTGTATAATCGTACCGAAATGTACCAATAGTAGCTAATTTAAACCGCGCTTCTTTGCCTGTTTTCCGTACCAACTTGTTATTAGATTAACTGATTAATCCTGCTCGAAGGACCATGTTGTACTCAAGCGTTTTTGAGTATTTTTTTTTATTTTATTTTCAAACTGACAGAATATTACAAGCCTACTGTTCAAGTACTCGTGCTTGCCTTTTTTAAAATTACACGTAAATATAAATACCTATCAAAATATGACTAAACAGACTTGATTATACACTTGTCTCTTAATATACTATTTTCATTATTCAATTGTTTCGTTTCATTTAAATTCGAAATTAAATTTGATATTCTTACGTCATGTAGGTACTTCCTTTGTAATCCACTAGTTTAAATGTAAGTTATTCCTGTAGTAGTTCTTTGTTTTGTTTGTGTTGTTATCTGTTACAGATTAGGCAGAACGCCCTCTTCTGAGCTCACAAGGTTGCGACCTGAAGTTCTAAGGTAATTTTTTTAATTTTCGACGACACCTTGATATAACTTTTCATTACATACTGGTTTTTGATACAATCGAATTGTAATTACCTTTGTTTCATAGTCATTTAACAATTATAGCTCCGTTGTTTTCTGCGGAAGCCTGTTTTTGATATTAATACTTTCTATGACTACATTTTTACTAAAAATGTATGTAAATTTAAATATTAACATTTCAGATCTAGATATTACAGTGTCCTATTTGCAATATTTTGGAGATTATTTATTAAATCACTCTCGATTGTGACATCAATTATTGTTTATGTTCTATCCCTATCAAGTATCTTATTTCTTTAACTTATCAAGGTATTTCCTCTGTAATCTAATGGTTTAAATGTAAGTTATTCCTGTAGTAGTTTATTATTACTCTAGTTCTTTGTTTTGTTTGTGTTGTTATGTTACAGATTAGACAGAACGCCCTCTTCTGAGCTCACAAGGATGCGATCTGAAGTTCTAAGGTAATTTTTTTTATTTTCGACGACTCCTTGATATAACGTTTGATTACATACTGGTTATTGATACAATCGAATTGTAATTACTACCTTTGTTTGATAGTCATTTAACAATTATAGCTCCGTTGTTTTCTGCGGAAGAGACCGCGATTTGAGCTTTAAGAAACTTTAAAGTGCGTGACAAAATTCACAGCGGAAGATACCATTAAGGCGCCCGAACCACAATTTTACCATTTCTATCACAGCGCCGAGGCGAAAGCATTAAAAGTAAATAAGAGCTGTGGTTTCACGAGTAGTATAATATACTCGATACCTTTCAATACAAATAATTGCTACAACACAAAATGAATACTTAAACGATAAAATTAATGTTCCCCATAGTTGATAAATGTGGCACAATGGTGTATGTTTCTATGTGTTAGAACTACTTCAGTAGATTAATTATACGCCTCCCCATTTGGAAATTGTACAAGAAAAATAATAAAAACCCAAAACTTAATTAATTCAAAAAGGTCCGTCCCATTATAATTCAAGTTTATTTACGCCCGCTGTGAATTTGATTATTCACTATGAACTACTAAAACTTTAAACTAAAACTTGATTTAGAGGATGGAAGGTAAGATTTGTGAATTGAACTACTGATCAAATTATTACTTATGCTGAGTATTTCCGTTTCGGCAATCTGTTTCGAACTCGAATATATCAAATTTGTATTGAAAACCAACGTTTATTTTTAACTCTTACGTTCTATTCCCGTAGGTGAACAGATTTGCTGCGAAGCCCTTGTACAAGACGTCCTGTGACGTTGATTTTTGAAACCCCACGCAAAAGGTTGCTGATCAATTATGTATAACCAACCAATTACTTAGATACATCCGTAAGGGCGAATTTATATGCTTCTGTTTTCTGCTGTTACGTCAAAGTTTTTATTAGTTGGCGCACAAATAATTTAACCATTCGCACATCAACGTATGAAGTTCGATAAAATCTAATTTGATACTTGTAGAGGATCATTTTATAAATTAAACAGCGTAGTGTAGTAATTACGTTTCTCGAATTAGTTCTTTACTTATAGTTACAGTGTGTCATCCAAATACCAAATGCCGCACATTCAAAATGTTGTAGTCTTAAAACAATAATAAAAATATGTAAAAATAATAAAACTAATCAATGAACTTACTGATTACAGTGACATTTACAAGCACATTTCGTGTGGGACTTCGTCTGAAATCCACACGGCACTGATAACTTCCCTCGTCGGATTCTCTCGCATTGCTTAAAGACAATTTTGCGACATCATCTTGAAATTTGAAGCCTGTTCTGTCACTCAGTGATTCAATAGACCAATGCTTCCCTTGTTCCAGCTTCTTTCCACGCGAGTCGAAGCTGTACATAAAATATCATTACGTAAATTTCCCCTCAGATTTGTGGTGTAGATTATCAAAGTTGGGGAAATAATTACTCAACTAAACCTCTGTAGGGATAGGTTTGAATTGCGTGATATAGCTTTAACCAGAGGATGAACTCTCACAACATCAACTACTTATGACCAATTGAAAACGTGCTTAGAATGAGAGTCGGATCATTACATGTTGACTGAATATCTCTTTATACTCCGTCCTCGTCGTCAGCGGTGAAAAGGGATATTTACAAATGTAAGGGATCGACTCTATTTCCAGATCGTATATGTGTAAACTCTAAATTATTTTTCTCGCGTAAAAAACTTACGTGTAAATTGGCACTTTATCCTTATACCAAATCAGTATATGCATTTTGTCTTTCGCTTCGGGTGGAGTTATATCGCACGGTAGATTGACAGACGTTCCTAACACTGTCTCTACAGAGTACACCATTTTTCCTGAAAAGAAAAAGAAATAAGCCACCGAATAAAAGATATTCACACAAAATTTACTATTAACTCTCTCGTTTTCCAGTATTCAATATTAACTCGTGTATTGAAACTCGTGAATTGGAATTCGATGAATAGGTCCCAGCTATGCAAATATAAAACACGTTTATCTATTGGCATTCTTCTATTTGGAACGGGATCTCAAAGGTGGGTAGATTGGCCCCATATAAAATTGATGGCACGTCTATTTATTCAGTTTATCCGGGTAAAGCCGAAATATATAGGATTGCGGAAAAATTAGGCAATTGTCAGTCTGGTGCAAAGGCGGTAGTGAAATTAAGTTATCCCCTTTTAATATATTGCTTAGGCGACTGTATATAAAACGCTACTTTACTTTTTCAAACGGGGATTTAAAACGATCCTTTGAAAACGTAGAAGTAGGTTTAATTCGGTTATAAAGGCGACGAAAAATTGTATTAGCATTCCCATTTTTTAAAACCACTTGCAGATGCCCGAAGAAGACGAATGTGTGACAGTGACTCTAACTGGAGAATCACCGACACTTTAGGTCATCGTCAACCAAAGATCATAACCTGGTGTTCAAGATGAAATTGAATATTTTTATAGAGATAGTCAGTCTCTTTAATTAAACAATACTTATTTTCCAGCACACGGTAACACAAAATCCAAGCCTTCAAAACAACGCGACACCGATAAGTATTTAACTTCAAACCAACATCTTTTGTTGTATGGAATCATGTAAATGTAAAACTGTTGAATCTACTTGAATATTTTTCTTAATTTATTTAACATTCGATTTTTATTCTAATTCTAATTTTGTTCTAGTTCTTTAGTTCGCCACTAGAGGCCATCCAAGTGTTTGATAGGTTTATTTCCCTTACCTCATTCAAATTTAGTCATTAAGTTAACATGGGGAGCAACAATCTGCAAACAACATGTTTCAAATTGCTTATGTTCGGTTTTATAAGTCACCCGGTATATTATTTGAATTACAGTATATTGACTACAAAATATGGTGCAAGAACCAACATGCAAGCAGCAAATATTAAATTGTGGTTGACATTTCATTGCCGACTGTCACTTTAGTCCCTTACCAATCGTATTTCACATCTGTTTGGTGCAATAAAAGCCACAAGAAGCGACAGCTTCAAGTAATCTTCCGATTGGATTACTGATACAAAACAATCCACTAATTTTTACTAGAATGAAAGATTCTGTATAGTAAACATAGATCGGAAACGGGGTAAATGTATACAAACCAGGGAGATTAAACTCAGAAATTTATCTAAGAAAATTTTCATTTTCATTTTGTTCCAAGGAAAAAGTAAGGTCTTTATTATAAAATCAATATAAAAATTAAATTACAACAAGGATTTATGTCATTTTAAAGAGAAATGTAAGCTTTCTGTTTGCTTTGATCAGCAGAACATAAAAATTTCAAATGAGAAAGGTCGCGAGAAATACGGATGGAAACTTTGACCTTTTTGCGTAGTATTTAATCCCCAGCCATAAACTTTATAATTAATTTTCTAGTTTAAAGTAAATATATTTAGGACGCAATCAGATTTAATTATCTAGATGAAATGATCCTTTTGGTTTTTATCGTTATAGTGTCATGTTTCAACTAAATACCCATTGAATTTTTATACATGTAAATAAATGCACTTAAAAAGTGAGCAATACAAGAATTTGTAACAGACGTACATTCGAACTGAAATTTAAAAGCTTCTCGAGTATTTTGAGCTTGTCACTCATACACTAGACGCTTTAAGAGCGAAGGCATTTTTAAAATAAAGTGCTAACATCGAAAACAGTATAGCACCCGTAACATAGATACACGGAAACTATGTATATTCCCATTTGTCTTCGAGAATAACGTGCGTTGTATACAAATAGGGGGTGGCCCCGTCGACTTATCAACAGCAACGTTGAAAATTTCTCCCGTCTGTCTATCTAAAACCAACTGTGATTCTCATATACACATACAAGTTTCAATTTATTTTAAGTTTATCCACACATTTTTTACTCGGGGATTTGTTCTGCTGATAAATTTATGTCTTATATAAATTATCAACAAATACAAACCTCGATGCAATAAATTTATTAGATTACCCATACTTCATTCAAATCCTTATAGAAATTTGGTTATAAATCAGGCTAAACTGCGCCGTGATTTAAATATATATATCGACAAAAGCTTGTGTGATTTAAGAAAACCCCAGCGCGAGGGGTTATAAGTTAAAATTGAAGCTGTTCACGGGATTCATTAAAAAAATACCCCACCTTAATAATTAATTCAGTGTACTTTAGCTTTTTATAAGTAAAGCGGTACAGTGACGTCAAAGCTGTTCTAGGTTATTTAGAGCACGATAACAGTCCTTTTTTTAAATTATTCTGGAAGTCGTTAAGTTCCGTTGAAAAGAATTACTCCTAGCCGATGGAGGTTCCGGTTCCCCTCATAAACATCTTATTCGCGAACGGAAAAGAAACTAATCAAAAGATTGTTTTGCAAATTGCAGCCCGTAATTATCGACTGATTTAACTTTTGAATGCAGTTCGTAATTCACGGTTGTAATCAGTTCAGTAAAGCTTTTCTCTGGCGAGGACCATTATCTCTAAGAATCAATTGAAAAGTGCCTGACCACGTCCGCTTGAATGCGCGTTGCAAAAGGCTCGGCGATTCGTAGAACGTGATTTGTTTTTCAATCCAACTGAAGTTGAACTGTTACTTTGAAGTAAGGAAGTTATCGAGATATTTTATTCACAATGAAGTCGTCGCTTTACAACTGCAACTTGCATTATTCCAGAAGCCTTTGGAAGAGAGCTTGATTTTTTTACACGAAGCTCCGTATGAAAATAAAGTGAATCATTCTCAGTGGAAAACTAAAAAGTTTTAAGTACGTTTACAGATAATTTGCTTTTAGGAAAAGGAGCGCAGTAACAACGGTTGTAAGATTTTCTTGCGAAAGTAATAACCGTGGCATTCAGCTGTTGGATTCCGGTGGGGACGCTGTCTTTATTCTGTAATGTGTACTGAAACAGCAGATTTCAGAAACACACTTCCCCAGAGACACCTTTTACAAGATGTAAGAGCTGTGTTGTACCTGACCTAGCTGAATTACATTTCCGTTTCTGTAGATATTTAATCATCTCTCAGGGCTGTCTTAAGAATTTAATATAAGCTTCTGCGAAGATCTACATCAGTAGAATGAGACCTGTATAAAATAAGATAGGCGAGGTAAAATTACCCGTAACTTTTTCGCGGAGTTAATTGTGTAATATTGAAATGTTCCGCCTGAAAGGAATATTCTCTTGTAATTGATACACGTAATGAATTTAAATATTAAAGCTTCGACTGTAGTTGGGAAATGAAGACGGAAACGAATACCTCATTCGGTACAGCGTGACGGATGTAATTAAATACCTTTAAAATTAATCAGAGGTTTTTGAAACTAGCTGACAGAATAAATTAGTATGATAATCGGAAACGATATACAAAACGCGCGTTTCCATGTAAATGTAAGGTAACCTAGAAGCATTAAATCATTTTGGAATTTGGTCTAGGGGTGCTTGTTTCTGAGCCTGTGAGAACGCACGAATCTTATTAAGATGCGTGAAGATAGTTAATGCTCAAGACTGGCAAAATATTACAATGAGATCTAATACAATAAAGTTATTTTTTTATCCTGAATACTAGGCAAGTGGCGAAAGTTTTGGTTGTGTGTGACACCATCCTCCGATTTGCTTGTATGAGCATACAGATCTTCGAGATGCCTTTGGATTTATTTCAAATGCTTCATACTTGAGCATAATTTTTTAAGCTTTCTAGCTCGAGCTAGGTTTAAAAAGATATATGGCAAACGGTATAATAAGTGTAAAATATGGCGAAAGAATAAAAATGTACATATAAAAGTAACCATTAATCATTAAATTGTGTTTGACAATTCAGTGTGTACTGTCACTTTTTGTTCCTAGTCGCGACACTTTAGTCCCTTAAATAAATGACAAAACACGTTGATTTAGTCCACGGAGTACAAAAAATAAAATAAATGAAATACACATAAGTGAATTTCATTTTTAGCGCATCTTTCTCAAAGGTTAATTCCATCCTAAAAATTCTAGTTCCAGCTAATGTCCATGAAAACTTCACATACGATTTGCGTCCTCGTCCCGATGAATTTGCGATAGGCCAACTTGTTTTAAGAAAGAACTATGTTTTCTGTCTGATGCTTCCGATATTTCTCCGCTAAGTTTGCACCTAAGTACGCAGGACTGTTTAAGGTTCGTAGGAAACTGGGCAGGTGGTTATACCAACTTAAAGAACCTAATAGTACTTTACAGGCCGGGACTTGGCATTTAAAAGATCTTAAATTGTATGGTGGCCCTGGGAATGATCCTGCAGCTTCTATTTTGTAGTGGTCTTTGGATAGCTATAGTGAGCCAAGACTTACATTTAAATTTTCTCTCCTGTCTAAATTCTTTCGACTTTGTAATTAGTAGTTTGTGCAGTAGTAGTTTTAGTCAGATGTAAGGAAGTTGAATATAATATATGAAAGCATCAATAGTGTTTATTAATAGAGAACAAGTTTACTACAATTGTCTTGAAGTTTAATGAAGATTACCGACACGCTCATTGTGAAGATTTCGTGTTAAGGGAAATTCTTCGCTTAGACTGACTGAAAAATCGTTTGTTGAACCATATGTGAGCTCGCCTTCCATCTCTGAGGTTTGTGCATTTTCTTCCAATTCCGATCTTTAGCGTTTACCATTTCAGCTCTTTTCTTCGAGTACATACCGTTGAAAATGACGAGGTTCGAACAGTTTTCCATGATAATCTGTTCAATGGACTGATGAGAATTCCCCACAGTTACGATTTCAGCTAAAATATGACACAGGTGATTTTTAGACGAGCACTAATCAAGAGAGCCACCAGGAACAAATGATAATTCGTAGTTACCAAGTGCTCTAAAACCGAGGTCCCTTTGCGA